TTCTTTTTTTTTGTTTTGACTTTTCTTCCTCTTTTTGATGGCTATAACAAACCTTTTTTTTTATTTTTTATTGTCAAACATCATGTCCTATATTTTGGTTGTTTAAGAAACCAACAGATGGGGCATTCAATGCATGGGCTGCCCCAACGTGGCTCTTCCCAAGTTCTGCTTGGCTGGCACCTTTCTCTCCTTTTAACCCAGCAACATCCACGAAGTGGCATACGGCCACTTTCTTTTCTTTTCTTCTCGGTGGCTGTCTTTTTTTGTTTATTGTTGCTATATGCAATCTTCTTGCAGGTCTCCATTTTTCTTTCTGCCTGTTCTTTTCTTCACAACTAACTTCCTTTTTTTTGTTGCAGTGAGGAAAGTAAAGGCTTTCAGAGGCAGAGATGGAGATGAATGGTCAGAGAGTCCAAGAGGTAACTCAAGCCTCTTTTTTTTTGTGTGAATACATTTTGGGCTGAACCCTCAAAACACCATTTCTGTTTCACAGGATTTTCTTTTGCTCGGCAGAGCTTTGTTTAACAGAAATCCTCTCATGGATTCGTTGCTCATGATTTAAGGGTTGCCACCCATTATGGATTTATCATCCAACAAAATGATTTAAGGGTTGCCACCCATCATGGATTCATCATCTAAGAGTTTGATTTGAGGGTTGTCACCCATTATGGATTTATCATCCAACACAATGATTTAAGGGTTGCCACCCAACAAGCATTAATTGAAAGAATCCATATACCTGTGAAAAGTATTCTTGTGCTTATGCTCTTGCAATTTTTCTCCTGCAGCAGTTTTCTTTTTCTGTCGTTTCTTTTCTCCTTTCTCTTTTTTTTCTTTACTGCTGTCCCTTTTATAAACCAAGGGCCTTCTTAGTGTATGAAAACTGAATAATCAACCCCCCAAAAATAGGAGCCACTAACCTCTCTTAAGAGTTTTCATTGGTTTAGACCTCCACTTCTCTACCCTCAACTTTCTGCTTGTTAGATGTGGCTAATAACAAATATCAAAATCATGGGGCTTATCCAACCCACGTTTCAATTTTTTTTTTGTGATTTTTTTTATTCCAACACCCCCCTAGAGATTTTGATAGATATATTATTTTTATTCTCAATATATGATTTCACCACTTCTACTACCACCATCTTATCATGGCTATCACTTAAATCGAGTGTATTATGGGTAGTTAAATAGGGTTTATTTAGTTAATTTTACATTTTGATTTAAATATTAGGATGCACTTAGATCATAGAGTGTACTCAGTTAATTTTAAGATTCTTTTAGCAGCACTCTAATTAATTTATGTGATTACTGCACACAAGAAGAAAATTGGTCTGTTGTGACACTGTGACTGTGTTGCGATGGTGCACGCGGCCCTCACAAATACTCATTAATTTGGCACGTCGTGTGTTGGCGCGAATGTATTTGCGACACCATTAGAAGTACACACTACGTGACTGGAGTGTTTTAAGGTAGCGGTCCTCTAAGCTCAGTCAACAAAGGGGGTCGAGACTTGGGTAGAACTTTCACCCCAACCGCATTCTTTCTTTTTCTTTTTCGTCAGTTTTTCAATATTTACACCTACAGAGGGTTTTGAGACTTTTAGTCTGCAATAATACAAGAGTACGGTTTTATACAACCAAGCGAGGCTACAGGCCCACACATTGTACGTATAAACAGATAATACAAGATATAACATCTTGTTCATTCACGCTATCGCGCTATCGAGGGTATACTGCAGTGATAGATGCTTCATCAACGGATGGAGTTGACTTACTTACAGATAGATCAGACTCCAAAGTTATCTTTGGCATGTTCCCCTCCGTTCGACTTCGAAGGAAAAATGCTGGCTGTTCAGGTAATGGCAGAGTCACAGAGTAGCTATTAAGCATGAGAACTACGGATTGCATTGTAGGTCTGTCCGCTGGATCTTCCTGAACACAAAGTAAGCCAATATGGATACACCTTATAACTTCACTCCTGGAATAAGAATCTCTCATACTCGGATCCAACAATTCCAAAGGCGTCCCATCCCTCCATAGTTTCCAAGCCTGCATAAATTGAACACTTTTATTTATGTTGTGGTGGTGTTGGTGCAGAAGAACAAAACTACGTTGTTTTCAGTTTAAGCTTACATGGCTCACGAGGTCTTCAGCTGCATCAGTTTGAAAGAAATAACTATTCTTCTTGCCGCTTATGATTTCTAGCAGTAAAACACCAAAACTATATAGATCGGACTTGACAGAAAATTGTCCATGCATTGCATACTCTGGAGACATATAGCCACTGCAAGAAGCACAACCATCCATCAGTATAGAAATTGTAGCAAAATTTAAGGAGTAAACTTATCATATTCATGTCAATAATTTAATCCATTCAATTTCGTGTAAGACGAAGTGGCTTTCATTATTTATAGAGCATGAAGTATGATTCAAAAATTACTTCATCCCTGTCTGAGTTCATACAGATATTATCAAGGGTCAAAGTGGACTTTCTGTTGAGTGCAGATGGGACCATTTCTCAAATTCATCAATCCCGATAATGCAGAACAAAAGTGGTCATGAGAAAAGAAAAGATGAATGAGAGAACTTACTATGTTCCAACAATTCTACTTGTGTTTGCTTGAGTTTGATCAACCCCAAAAATCCTGGCCATGCCAAAATCAGATATTTTTGGATGCATCTCCCCATCTAACAATATATTGCTGGCCTTGAGATCACGATGTATAATTCTAAGTCGGGAATCTTCATGTAGATACATTATTCCTCGAGCAATCCCTGCGATAATCTTGTAACGTCTTGCCCAATCCAATTGTCCTTGTTTCTCAGGGTCTGAAAATCATCAAAATTGAGCAATCAAGTTATCATCAAGGAAACAGATTCAAATACATGTTGAAGTAACATTGTTTTTGCAGTAGAAAAGACTATCAGATGTTTCAGGGCACAAACCAAATAGAAAGTAGTCAAGGCTTTTGTTGGAGACATATTCATAAACAAGTATCTTTTCTTCTCCTTCCAAGCAAAATCCATATAGCCTGACCAGATTTCTGTGTTGAAGCTTGGCTACCAATACCATCTCGTTCTTAAATTCCTCTGCACCTTGGCCAGAGTTCTTTGAAAGCCTCTTCACAGCTACTTCTTGACCATTTGAAAGTATACCCTGAGAACAACCTTCAATCAATGAATCGATGGAATGTACATTCTTGCACAACTTTTACAATTCCCAGTACTGATTAAAACCTCCTTAGTTTCTCAAAATATTAAGACTTGAGATTTTCCGATGCAGAAACGTTGATATACATACATACCTTGTAAACTTGACCAAATCCACCTTCCCCTAACTTATTATCATCAGAGAAATTGTTCGTGGCCGCTACAATGGTACTAAAATCAAATTGCAAAGACTCTATAGTACTAATGTCATTCTCACCTACACAAACAAACAAGAAAAGCATTCATGTATAAAGATGAGGAAACAAAAGTATGCTTTTGATTTGTATGACAAACTAGAATTCCTTTCAGATATATATTCTTTACCGCTTGGTGCCTCTGCTGCTGCACTGCGCTTCTTTCTTGCTCTCCTAGTAATGAAACAGCAGCCCACAACAAAAAGTAGCATAGAGACGGCAATTGGGACAACAATGGCAACAATTGTAGGGATTTTGCTTTTTCCTGCATAATAAACAATAAGAATCTACACTGATACATCAAACTAAATATGAAGAAATTAGTAAAATGAACAGCCAAATCCCAAAACCATATTCCCCTGTTCCAATCCAAAGTCCACCATAGTTAGCATAGATACCTATTCCTCCCAACTATTTTAAGACATAATTTGAATTGAAAAGCTGGTCACTTCACTTTACCTTTAGGCGGCAGAGGAGGAGGTAGAGCCCCCGGTGAAGGCTGAGGTGCTGACGTGGAGTTCTGTTGGTAGAAAGGGTAGACTTCGTACCTAACG